ATTGTATTGTTTTATGTTGGTGTTTTTACAACACTCGGGCTTAAGTTGTAGACCTAGTATGTGTGAGTGGGTGTCTGGCTGGCTTCGTGCAAGTGTGGACGTTATGCATCAACAGTCACTGTTGCGTCCGTGTTAATAACCAAAGCCAGTAAAACCGCATCATAGAAGTCTTGGTGATGGTTGTCATATGTTGAAGATAGATTGGTTAATCCACAACTGATCTATCTTCAACCGGGTTGTTGGCCGGTGTAGATGGAAAAATAACAGTGCCGAAAATCTGTCCCAGTCTGACACTGGTAGAAGCTCTCATTGCTGCGAGCCAGCAACTAGCAGGAGCTACCATCCTTCTTCGTCCGGTGTTGCTTTTATATGTATGTTTCCAATTTTTTCAAAAAACTTAGTGGGCGTGGCTTATAGTGAGGTGAGCTCAACAGTCCAGAAAATACTGTAATCTAAATAATTTTGTCAAAGGAACTCACTGCCTTTTTGCGCCAAAGCAAAAGGAAAAAATTAATGTTACGCAACCCAACATAAACATTTTAAGTTGTATTTCTTTTTTAAATAAATACAATTTCTTAATTAGTTAGATGTGTAACATATTTAACAGAAGTGTCATTGTTTAGTGGTGCTTGTTGTACTACTTAATGGTTTTATAAATTTTTTTTCTCTTTTTTGGCCACTTTGCCTATCCATTTTTTATGATAAACTCAACAATACAGACAATAAATGCATCATGTCCTTTGTTATTTGATTATTTTCTTTTGACCAAACGGCAACATAATTGGAAAAGAGATGGGGAGAAACTCAAACACGAACTGTTATTATGAGTTTGCCATCTCCAGGCAACTGCCCCATTAAGATCAAACTTATTAATGGAAAGAGAAGGAGAATTACTCATGTAAACATTTCCAGATCGCAGTCTTGAAAATAAAAGCAGTATCAATGGGTGGGGGTAGCAAAAACTTGGAAATGACCCGTGTTAAAAACAGCTTATTCCTGTCAGGTGCTGCTCTTGTTGAAAGATATGGTTTCTTTTTTGTATTAAAGTATTAAAAATGTTCTTCATACACTATATAGTTAGATATCTATATGTACATATTATTCTGATTATAAAGCTATTCTTCCTTTTGAAACAGAGCAAATGTATAAACAGGTTTTAAAGTTAGCACATATATCCCCTGCCAAATGCCTGATTTAGGTCAGAAATCAGATGGCTTGTCTGCTGAGTTGTCTGTCTGCTCTGGCTTCCATGACCTGCTTTCATCTGACCCAACCATGTTTGGGGTCAGTTAGGCTGCAAACCAACAAATCACACTGCAGTTAGTCAAAACAGACAACATGGTATATATACACACACACACACATATATATAAATATACATACATATACAGATGTATGTATGTATACACATATACATATACATATGCTAGATAGATAGATAGATAGATAGATAGATAGAT